AAGCACCCCAAAAGTGCAAGCAGATTAATAGGTACCGCTCCGGCGGGAAGGTAAACGGCGTTTCCGTGCGCTGCTCTGATGTCGGTGTTCTGTTGCGCCAGAAGCGTAGTCATGCCGGCCACATGACCCGGAAAAACTGTCTGCAGAGTGGACAAACTGCCTGATATACATTTTAAAAATGTTGTAGGTGGAAGTGAGACAACCTTGATAGTCGATGTGCATCCCAACTCTGCGCTGGAGTAATTAAATAAGCTGCTAGATCATTTGCATATGGAAGACGCAAAACTCAGAATGGCTTTTTATTACCCTAAGGAAGTGTGGTAAGGGGGAGAGAGGCTTATGTCAGCAGGTATTTGCTCGCACATTTTAAACTGTTCTTATTGAGATTGTCTAAGCCTGCTGCTCTCCAGTGGGTTTCCTGTTGACAATGTATAAATCGGATAAGCCCTTTGTGGGGTGAGAGGTGTTCCCAATATATGGGAATGGCTAATTCTGCACAACAAAGTTACAAACTGTATCGGTGCAACAATATCTCATACAAATGAGCTGGTGTGGTAGCTGAGCTGCTAGTATGGGGGATATAGAGGGCATATTAGTCGACACCATGGGTAGGAAAACTAAGGCCTGGGGGCCAGATCCGGCCCAATTGCCTTCTAAATCCAACCCGCGGATGGTCCGGGAATGTTTTTACATGAGTAGAATGTGTCCTTTTATTTACAATGCATCTCTGGGTTATTTGTGGGGCCTGCCTGGTGTTTTGACATGAGTAGAATGAGTGCTTTTATTGAAAATGCATCTCTGGGTTCTTTGTGGGGCATAGGAATTCGTTCATTTCCACCCCCAAAAAAATATAGTCCGGCCCCCCCACAAGGTCTGAAGGACAGTGGACCAGCCCCCTGCTGAAAAGGTTTGCTGACCCCTGGTCTACACCAAAGATGGAGTACTTGTGGACCTTCAGATGTTAGATTCCTAACCCACATCAGCCCAGCATGGCCCGCAGTCAACAATTTTTGGAATAGGGTTAACCATTCCTTCTTTGCAAGATTGTTTGCGTTCCTAAGCAAGCACTAAAGGTATTTCAGCTAGGTGGCCCAACTTCAGTCAAAGTTGGATTTGTTCTGTAACTCCCATTGCATCTGGCAAATGAATTTGTGGAATAAATTCAATGTGTAAAACACACGGAGTTTCAACAATAGTGGCCACCCACCCAAATTTACAAGCTAACCATCAAGTTAGGAAGAAGGGCTCTCTTTGTTCAATTACCCAACTCTTGCCAACACAACAGATCTCGACAGCAAAGAATTAGAGGTCAAATGGAAGAGAAAAATATGGGCTATAACAATAATAAACAAAATGAACTATGAACAACACGGTGAGATATAAGCCACTTGGAGATGGCAGGAGACATTCCATAGAGGTATTTAGAAAAGGTAAAAGGTAAAGGACCCCTGGGCGGTGAAGTCCAGTCAAAGACGACTATGGGGTTGCAGCACTCATCTCGCTTTCAGGCCGAGGGAGCTGGCGTTTGTCCACAGACAGCTTTCTGGGTCATGTCTGGTTTGGCAATTCAACACTGTGACGGAAACCAGAGCGCACAGAAGCGCTGTTTACCTTCCTGACGCAGCAGTACCTATTTATCTAGATAGATAGATAGACAGATAATTTATTACGGTCAAAGACCAGCTCACATAACATAACACAATAAAAACAGTGTTCATAAAGATAAAATATACAATTGGAACAGATTGCAGCAAGAGCTCATGAGTTAAAATAGAGATTTATACATACACCCGTACAACTGAGATTTGGGCTACCATAAAAAATTGACCCTGAGGCGCCCCAAAGGGCAACTTCAGCATTTTCCTAGTAAGCTATTTTATTCTAGAGGATGATCTGTGCCTACAAATCTGGGCGCAGAATCTGGCTACCAGCCATCTTGTCTTATGATCTTTGCCTAAGAGGAGAGAATTAAGTTTGTTGTGATGTTGTTTAGCTGTTTAGTCATGTCCGACTCTTTGTGACCCCATGGACCAGAGCACGCCAGGCACTCCTGTCTTCCACTGCCTCCCGCAGTTTGGTCAAACTCATGCTGGTAGCTTCGAGAACACTGTCCAACCATCTCGTCCTCTGCCGTCCCCTTCTCCTTGTGCCCTCCATCTTTCCCAACATCAGGGTCTTTTCCAGGGAGTCTTCTCTTCTCATGAGGTGGCCAAAGTATTGGAGCCTCAGCTCCAGGATCTGTCCTTCCAGTGAGCACTCAGGGCTGATTTCCTTCAGAATGGATCGGTCTGATCTTCTTGCCGTCCATGGGACTCTCAAGAGTCTCCTCCAGCACCATAATTCAAAAGCATCAATTCTTCGGCGATCAGCCGTCTTTATGGTCCAGCTCTCACTTCCATACCTTAGAGGTATTTATATCAAGCTAAGCACACAGGGGTCTCCTAACAACTCTTAGCACCTTTAGCAAAACTACAGTTCCCAGAATTCTTGGGGGGAGCAGCCATGACTGTTAAAAGTGGTATGATAACTGCTTTAAATATATCGTGCATTGCTTTGAGTAAACTCAAAGCAAAAATGTGCATTAAAATGGGATGGTTATAGAAGATACGTTCAAAAATACAATAATAGTTTTGACTCCATACTAGAATTCGAGTGATAAAGAAACTAAAAGGAGGTGGACAACAATTAAGGATTCATTATGTTTTCAGAATGTATTGAAAAAATTACATAGAAAGGTTGTGTACATTTGATTGTAAGATAAAATATATGCAAAGGGACTTGACAGGAAGTCAAAGTCGAAGAAAAATTTTTGTAAGATAAAAGGGGGGGAAATATTTAGTTTCATTATTATCATTTTGTGTGTGGGTGTGGGTGTCTGCACATCTGTGTGTTTTTGTATGGAATGTTTGGGAGGAAATAAGACGGTAAATAACAAATAACAAACTAAATATTGATGTATGTAATTTTTATTTCTTAATTATATTTAGTGGTAGTATGGTTGTATTGTTTTTTGTAACATAAAATCATTTAATAAAAATTATTTTTTTAAAAATAATATACTGTATTTTTCGCTCTATAGGATGCACTTTTTCCCCTCCAAAAATTAAGGGGAAATGTGTGTGCGTCCTATGGAGCGAATGCAGGCTCCTTGGCTTCATCGATAGCAACGGAAAGCCTCCAAAGCGCAGAGGGAGCGCTCCCTCCGTGCTTCGGAGGCTTCGCGTTGCTTTCGCTGAAGCCTGGAGGGCGAGAAGGGACCCCTCTCGCTCTCCAGGCTTCAGGGATAGCCGCCTGAAGCCTGCGGAGAGCAGCGTGAGTTCCCGCTGCAGTCCGCAGTCCTCAGGTTCCTTTCGCTGAAGCCGGGAGAGCAAGAGACTCCTGGCTTCAGCAGAGAGGGAGAGCTGTGCAGCGCCCCTTCAGCCAAGCGGGAGGAGAAATGGAAGGGGCTCCGTTTCTCCTGCCGCTTCACTGAAGGGGCACTGAGCAGAGAGGGGGAGAATTTTTTTTCTTGTTCTCCCCCTCTAAAACCCGTCCTATGGTCAGGTGCGTCCTATAGAGCGAAAAATACGCTGTGTGTGTGTGTGTGTGTGTGTGTAGTACCGGTCTGACCTGCTCTTCAGACAGTGTCCAGGGACACAAGATGGCCTCTTCGGCTGACCTGAGTAGACAGGAAGACTCCTCTGTGAAAGAGGTAGCAGCCACGGGTGTCTATTTTTTTGCCACGGGGCAGGGCAGGGAGACTGCCTCTCTCCCCTCTCGCACTGTGCTAATCTCTAGCAAGGGCAGGCTGCCTTGCCAGTAGCAGGTACATCCTTTGCAGCCATAAAACCTCTTCTTTATGACGTAGCCCACCAGCCATTCAATGACATGACTGTAATGGCTCTTTTATCAAAACTGGAGATGTGTGTGACCTTCAATTTTTCTTTCTTTTTATTTTTTTTAAAAAAACCTTTTTCGAACAGGCGCTGTGTCTGTTGTGCTGTCTTCAGTATCGCCAAGCATTTATTTCTGGTGCGCTGAAAGGCAGGGAGTGTGTCAGTTGGGAAATGGAATCAAGAAGCAAAGGATTCTTCACAATGGCGGCTATTTTGACAAGTGTGAGAGAGACAATGTTTGCTTCGTGATTGCTCTGTGCAGCCCTTAATGTTTCCATGGTTTTATATTCCTGTATACTAGCACAGCGATATTTTATGAGGCAGCAGCATATAAATCCTTTTATAATTATAAGAAAAACATATATACTGAGGTGAGATTTGGAGACTTCCTGGTTCTCATCAACATTCTCTCTCTCTCTCTCTCTCTCTCTCTCTCTCACACACACACACACACACACACACACACACAATGATGCTCACACTCAGACCTTTCTGTTTAGGCGAGTCTCTCAGCAATCCACCCTGCTGTTTCCTCTCCAGGAAAAGCTTTCTTTTCTTTATTCCGCAAAAAATTATATCTGCAATAAAACCTCCCTGTGGTTTACAAGGAGAATGAATCATTTAAATTATCAATAAGCGGCAGCTGAAGACAGGGTGTTTAAAACATTAGAAGCGGAACTGAAATCGATAGTCAGCTAAAATGAAATTAAAACCCATGTGAACTTTTTAGCACGTCTGGATTGTCTTTCGCCTAAACGGAAGGATTTTAAGGAGGTGCCGAGTTCAGAAGGTGCCTACTGGCTGTCAACAGGCAGGGAGTTTCCATGTAGGCACTGCCACCCTAAAAGTTTGATTCCTTACAAGTACAGAATGAAATGTGTTGTGTTGCCTCTTCCCGTGTTTCCAAAGGAGGAGCCAGCAGCCCACAAATTTCCCAACATCTCCATCCCTTCAGGAATGTGGGCGGTGCCATACAGAGAGGTGGAAAAATAAAGGCTGCTGTGAATATAAACCTGAAGTTTCCTGGTCCAGCCCAGTATGTTGCAAACACTCGCTTGTTTTCTTAGTGCTTGAGCATCAGGAAAGAAATCAAGAGGCGAGGCGGAATCCACACACACAGCTGTCTTCCAACCTCTTTTCAGGATGTGGAGGGAACTGCGGATGGTGGCTTTTTACCGGGCTGTCTTTGCAGAAATCCTGGCCACAGCCATCTTTGTCTTCTTCGGCCTGGGCTCAGAGTTGAATTGGCCAGAGAAGCCCTCTGTCCTGCAGACTGCCATCACCTTCAACTTGGCCGCAGCCACCGCTGTCCAGATCGCCTGGCATGCCAGCGGATCCCACCTCAACCCAGCAGTGACCTTGGCCTTCCTGCTTGGCTCTCGCATATCGTTGGCGAGGGCAGCCTGCTATATACTTGCCCAGATGGTCGGAGGCATTGTCGGAGCAGCTGTCCTTTATGAGGTGACTCCTGAGGACATCCGAGGAAGTTTAGGCACCAGTACGGTATGTCTGTCTCCGTTTCTGTCTTCTGAATGTTTGCCGTCGTCGGGAAAGGCGAGGATGAGGCAAGGCTTGTCTAAAACAGCCAGTCTGTACCTGGGATGTTTCTGTTACTTTTTAAAAAAAAAAAATATTTCATTAGAAGAATGTCATTCATAAAAAGAGAAGAAAGGTGAGAAAAGGAAGGAAGGAAAAGAAAGAAAGAATATGGTTACATCACCATACCTTAATATACAGATGTGTGTATTTATGGTCCAGCTCTCACTTCCATACATCACTACTGGGAAAACCATAGCTTTAACTATATGGATCTTTGTCAGCAAGGTGATGTCTCTGCTTTTTAAGATGCTGTCTAGGTTTGTCATTGCTTTTCTCCCAAGAAGCAGGCGTCTTTTAATTTCGTGGGTGCTGTCACCATCTGCAGTGATCATGGAGCCCAAGAAAGTAAAATCTCTTACTGCCTCCATTTCCTCCCCTTCTATTTGCCAGGAGGTGATGGGACCAGTGGCCATGATCTTAGTTTTTTTGATGTTGAGCTTCAAACCATATTTTGCACTCTCCTCTTTTACCCTCATTAAACCCTCATTAAAAGGTTCTTTAATTCCTCCTCACTTTCTGCCATCAATGTTGTCTCATCTGCATATCTGAGGTTGTTGATATTTCTTCTGGCAATCTTAATTCCATAAATCTAAGAGATTGGCAGCTTTGGTGATGGTATACCGTGGTCCCACGAAAGCTCTTTCACTATTTCCTCTTCCTCCTCCCCAGGTGAGGGTCAACGTCTCATCCGGACAAGCTGTGTCCATCGAGCTCATTTTGACATTGCAGCTGGTTCTAAGCTATCTTGTGTCCACCGATAGCAGCCGAAACAAAGGTTCTCCAGCTATCCTGATCGGTGTCTCCGTTGCCCTGGGACACTTAATTGGGGTAAGTGGAGGACCTGGGGCAGTTTAAAAACTACAGGGGATCTGATGAGCAAAGGAAGAAGTAGCTCTTGCTGATGACCAACTAATCTGTAGAATGCTGGAAGGAGATGCTCAAAGTACACAGAATACTCCTGTCCAATGCAAAATAAAAATCAGAAGGGAAAGTTATGTTTAACTAGGTGCTCATTAAAGAGCTGAATGCTCTTTAGAAGCAAAGTGTTAGGTAAAGGTAAAGGGACCCCTGACCATTAGGTCCAGTCGTGGCCGACTCTGGGGTTGTGGCGCTCATCTCACTTTACTGGCCGAGGGAGCTGGCGTACAGCTTCCGGGTCATGTGGCCAGCAGGACTAAGCCACTTCTGGCGAACCAGAGCAGCGCACGGAAACGCCGTTTACCTTCCTGCCGGAGCGGTACCTATTTATCTACTTGCACTTTGATGTGCTTTCGAACTGCTAGGTTGGCAGGAGCAGGGACCGAGCAACGGGAGCTCACCCCGTCGCGGGGATTCGAACCGCCAACCTTCTGATCGGCAAGTCCTAGATTCTGTGGTTTAACCCACAGCACCACCCAAGTTTAAATAGGAAATGTGTTAATTTTCTGACAAACCGCCCAGGTTTACTGGAGGGATCGGTTTATAAATTGCACACAGAGGCAGTGGTAAATGGCAATTTTGTTTTGTTGTTTCGTTTTATTGGGGGAATAGTGGCAGCAGGCAGGCCCAAGGCATCTTCACACCCACCCCATGGCGCCCCTGAGTGGCAGTAAGAATGAGCCCCAAAATCCTATAATCATTAGTATTATGGGCCTCCCCGACTGAGAACTTATAGACATAATCTAGATATGGGTTAACTCTCTAATGGGTGAGATCTTGGAGAGCACCTTACCCAAAGAGTGCAGAGAACACCACAGATTGCAGCGTGTGGATCTTCCAGACATGTGCAGAACTAATGTGAGCCCATTGATTACAAGAGAAGGGAAGCACAGCAGCAATTCTGCCAGTAGCCTAACCTACTCCATTCTCAGAAGTCAGTCACGAGGTGGGGAACCTACAGAGGGGTCTTCTGATCAGGGCCGGATTTAGTTTTGATGAGGCCCTAAGCTACTGAAGGTAATGGGGCCCTTTATATGTCCAGCTGTCCTTCGTCAACAACAAATTGTCACTGGTTTTTGTGTTGAATATATGCTATATGGTAATTTATGGACCTAACAGGTATCTAAAGCCGTTTGCACAGGTTGCCATGCAACCAGTCCATGCAGAATGTAGGCACCCTGTACAGTGGTACCTCTGGTTGCAAACGGGATCCGTTCCGGAGGCCCGTTCGCAACCTGAAAAGAACGCAACCCGCATCTGCGCACGTGCGGGTTGCGATTCACCGCTTCTGCGCATGCACGTGACATCATTTTGCGCGTCTGCGCATGTGCGAGCGGCGAAACCCAGAAGTAACCCTTTCTGGTACTTCCGGGTCGCCGCGGGACGCAACCTGAAAACGCGCAACCTGAAGCAAACGTAACATGAGGTATAACTGTATATAGAAAAGAGCAAACCAGTGATATTTTAGGGAGCAGGCTAGCAAGCGGAGCCCATTACTTACATCACAGGACCCTACACAACACAAAACACTGTTGCTGCTTGTAGGTTTTATTTTATTTGTTTTTTATCTTATATTTTGGAAATGTACATCCAGGTTTTTTTTCCTTTACATTTTTTGGGGGCCCCAAGCAAGTGGGGCCCTAAGCTACAGCTTGTTTAGCTTGTACGTAAATCTGGCACTGCTTCTGATGACTCCAGTCCTAATGAGTAAGGGCTCATCCGGACTTCCTATTCTGCCACATTCCTAGGCACAGGTCCAAGCTTTAAAGTGTTGTGTCCAGCGTTTTCCCTGTGAACACCCGCTCTTTATCTCTAAATTGGAACAAATGGTAATCCGCGGGGAACCTGAACTGCTGTTTGCTCCGATTTAGCATTAAAGAATGGATTTTCATGGGGGAAAGCGCGGGGGGGATGACGACAACACAAAAAGAAGCACACACCTCTGCCTAGAAAGCATATGGCAAAATGTAATTGTGGATGAGCCCTGACTGTAGGTGACTTGTAGAAATCTGGATCCGGGGACCTGCTATAGCAGGGATGGGGAACCTATAAGACTCCAGGTCCCATCAGCCTCAGCCAGCATGGCCAGTGGCAAGGAGTGATGGGCACTGCAGTTCACCAATATCTGGAGGGCTGCAGGATCTCCATCCCTGAGCTCTTGGCATGTTTGTTTTCTCCAAAATTATTGCAGCTCGAAGTGGTACATCTGATGCCCTTCACTAAATGGAGATTCAGAGAAGGGGGGAGGATGAACCCTGCAAAATATGCTTGTCCAGACACATCTCTTCCCATTTCTCCTTCCTAGCATTACTACACCACCTGTTCCATGAATCCAGCCAAATCCTTTGGCCGTTCAGTTGTAGTCGGGAATTTTACAAAGCAATGGGTAAGTCGCCTCCTTTCTGACCCTTTTGCCCCTGTTACCTTGAAGCCAGAAGGGAGCGGGGATTGTGTCCGTGGGGTGACGATTCAGCCACCACCTGGGATGGCCCAAGGCCTAAAAGAGGCCCCGATTCTCCTCACAGAACCTATATAGGAAGGCCCATATGATATTGAGCGACAGAATAATCTGGCCACAATAAGTAAATTTTATCCATGGTATGATTATTGTCCACCTAGTCATTTGACACTCCGGCACCCTATTTGCAAAATTTAACAATTCCAAAATACAGAGGTGCTTTCACTTTCGCAAGATTGTATATACAATACTGCCTTTGGCTGTACTTGAGGGTCGATTTCAAAAAATTCCTCTGCAAAAACAGTTAAATGTATGGGATGAATGTGGCCTAATTTCCCTGGATCAGGGCCCCTTCCTTTCATTATGATTCTTTTCTACCCCTATGAAGTGGGAACAAGTGATGTTTTGGGTAAATGAACTGCAGCCTCCTCTAGCCTCAGCACAAACTGTTTCTTCTCTTTGTCCCTGCAGATATTCTGGGTGGGGCCACTGGTTGGTGCAATCCTGGCCTTTGTGCTTTATTCCTTTGTCCTTCACCACGACCCAAAAACCTTTGCGGAACGACTGGCCATTCTCAGGGGCAGCTATGATGCAGAACCTTCAGAGAAGGAGAAAGACCAGCCGGCAGACTCTGTATCTCTGCCCATGCCCAGCCTTGTACATAGACTCTAGACTCCTAGGAGCATGCCATGGAAGAACGTCGACGGCTCCTCCTGTTTTTAGGAAGGACTAAGTGAGAAACCACTCTTCTCTCTCTGGCCACGAGAGGGCTCCAAGTGCCCTTTCTCTCAAATCTGAAGTCAGATTGCATATGCACGGTGCCAAATTTGCAACGACTCTTTTAGCAAGAGGAACGCCAGACAATAGGAATGGATCTGTGGTGTGGTATGGCCAGCAGGAGGCACTGCGTTAACACGCGTATGCAATGCAGGGGAAGGGCAGAGAGGAAGCCAGTTCAGAGGCCCATCACTTGCGGCGCCCAGTGACTGTGAACGCTGGCAGCTAAGGTAGCAACGATGGTGTTCTCGAGGTTTAAGTCTGCCGTCATCTATGCAAAACCAACTAGACCAGGCTTCCTCAACCTTGGCCCTCCAGATGTTTTTGGCCTACAACTCCCATGATCCCTAGCTAGCAGGACCAGTGGTCAGGGATGATGGGAATTGTCGTCTCAAAACATCTGGAGGGCCGAGGTTGAAGAAGCCTGAACTAGACTGTGAGCAGTAGGGTCTCGACTCGCAGACTTTTCAAGTGTCCCAGGGACAGTCCCAGATTTACAGAAGCTAACCCGGTTTCTGATTTGATCCCAGAATGTCCCACTTTCCCTTAGGACAACCCTATTTGCATTGGAGACACATTGGAGGGGATGCGACTTCCGATGGGGCCTCAGTTGACGAGGGTGGCGCTGTGGTCTAAACATCTGAGCCTCTTGGGCTTGCCGATCAGGAGGTCGGCGGTTCGAATCCCCACGACGGGGTGAGCTCCCGTTGCTCTGTCCCAGCTCCTGCCAACCTAGCAGTTTGAAAGCATGCCAGTGCAAGTAGATAAATAGGCACCGCTGCGGCGGGAAGGTAAACAACGTTTCCATGCACTCTGGCTTCCTTCACGGTGTTCCATTGTGCCTGAAGCAGTTTAGCTATGCTGGCCACATGACCCGGAAAGCTGTCTGTGGACAAACGCCGGCTCCCTTTGGCCTGAAAACGAGATGTGCTCCGCAACCCCATTGTCGCCTTTGACTGGATTTAACCGTCCAGGGGTCCTTTACCTTTACCTTTTACCTCTACCCATGCAGTCACCCACCATATAAAGCAGCACATGTTGTACACGGTGCAAACTCATACATTCTACTGAGCGCACCAGTCTCTTTCCTTAGCTTACTGTCAAAGAAGCATCAGGGATGCTCTTAGCTATGGACGTTTATTTCCATCATTGGTAGTCCTTCGCACCTGCTGTGCTCTTCATGACTCCATGCATGCATTGCTATTCATGCTCAGCAGAGATCCATTTAAATTAATGGCCCTGACTAACTAAGGTTTACTAATTTCAGTGGGCCTACCCTGGGAAAAACTTAGCTGGGTACAACCCTACATTTCCAAAGTACTTCCAGAAGGAGCGTCTCTTTACGGGATGCCATGACCTTATCGCAGCAGCAAATGGAGTGATTTCCAAGTCTGAGACCTTTACTGCTGGCATGGGAGAAGGACGATGATCGAAGGAGGTTCATCTGCATCTTTTGCTGTGCATAATATAGGCCAGTGAAGCCAAATACCGTATTTTTCGCTCTATAAGATGCACCAGACCATAAGACGCACCTAGTTTTTGGAGGAGGAAAACAAGAAAAAAAATATTCTGAATCTCAGAAGCCAGAACAGCAAGAGGGATCGCTGCGCAGTGAAAGCAGCAATCCCTCTTGCTGTTCTGGCTTCTGTGATAGCTGCGCAGCCTGCATTCACTCCATAACACACACACACACACACATCTCCCCTTACTTTGTAGGAGGGAAAAAGTGAGTCTTATAGAGCAAAAAATACGGTATTTGGGGAAAGGAGGGGAGAATTAAAGCACCGTATCACACAAAGAGACTTAATATGAAATTAAAAAAACTCAGTCTAAATTAGCTAGTTGCATGTTATATACTTAAGGAAAGGCAATGACGTATAGGTGGGTTCCCACGAGGCAAGACACAGTGAAAGCAGCAAGAACCTTTATTTAACTAACAGAACTGGGCAACAGGGGCAAAGCAACTGCTTATATACATTTCTGAAGGCCTGGGCCACTCCCACTCCCAACATGATTGGCTGGCTAAACTTCCAAGCTGCGAATCATAACTCAAGATTTTAAGGGCCAATGGCAGAGGCCCAAATCCTGAATTGTTCTGTGATTGAATATCATGTATCGAATCAGAACACAGGGCTCAGAATCCTTAGTCCAGACTCAAGCTCAGGCAAACACAGACCACTGAATACATAACAGGTGGGTTTCAGAGCACACACAGAGTTTCTCACAGAATCCTGGTTAGTTGATTTCAGGAGATCGAAACCTGAGAGTGAAGCCTCTCATTTTTATAGGAAATCTGAGAAGTAATACAAAAAGGGTCCTTTACAGAAGTAGACTATTGTTTTGTTGGTGAGTTATGCTCAGTCTCTGATGGTCTCTGTGGCCAATCAGAACTTTATTTAGAAGCTAGATCAACCACCTTATAAACCCTGCACTTAAAAGGGCTAGCCAGTTCTCACTAGAATCAATGTAAAAAAGGGGGGTAGATTAACTTGAGGGTGTTTGCTGGGGAATAAAAACAAAACAAACAGGATGTCTGTCTGCTGCAGACTTCCAGAGAACCAGCCTGATTGGAGATCTTTTAGGGGACACTGCTGATCTTTATAGGAATATAGGATTTGTCATTCTGCCTTCCACCCAATGAGGAAATAAAAGTGCTGTAATTAGTGCTGCATTTCTCCATTGTCCCTCCAGAATAATAATAATACAGTAATAATAATTTATTATTTGTACCCCGCCCATCTGGCTGGGTTTCCCCAGCCACTCTGGGCGGCTTCCACAGAGACCAAAAATACACTAAAATGTCACACATTAAAAACTTCCCTGAACAGGGCTGCCTTAAGATGTCTTCTGAATGTCAGGTAGTTGTTTATCGCTTTGACATCTGCTGGAAGGGCGTTCCACAGGGCGGGCGCCACTAGCAAGAAGGCCCTCTGCCTGGTTCCCTGTAGCTTTGCTTCTCGCAATGAGGGAACCGCCAGAAGGCCCTCGGCGCTGGACCTCAGGGTCTGGGCAGAAGCCAATGTAGGTCTTTCAAGACCGGTGTTATGTGGTCTCGGCGGCTGCCCCCAGTCACCAGTCTAGCTGCTGCATTCTGGATTAGTTGTAGTTTCTGGGTCACCTTCAAAGGTAGCCCCACATAGAGCACATTGCAGTAGTCCAAGCGGGAGATAACTTAAGCATGCACCACTCTGGCGAGACAGTTCGCGGGCAGGTAGGGTCTCAGCCTGCATACCAGATGGAGCTGGTAGACAGCTGTCCTGGACACAGAATTGACCTGCGCCTCCATGGACAGCTGTGAGTCCAAAATGACTCCCAGGCTGCACACCTGGTCCTTCAGGGGCACAGTTATCCCATTCAGGACCAGGGAGTCCTCCACACCTGCCCTCCCCCTGTCTCCCCAAAACAGTACTTCTGTCTTGTCAAGGTCCTTTCCAACTATATGATGGTGTGGTATACCTCAATAGCACCCCTACTGGCCGAGAAGGGGGGAAACAGCTCTGTAGAGCGCATTGCAGTAGTCCAAGCGGGAGATAACTAGAGCATGCACCACTCTGGCAAGACAGTCCGCAGGCAGGTGATCCAGACTCTGCTGATAGAGACCTCAAAGGTTGAGGATGATGTTTCCCTCCAGACACAGCACACAGAAATGCAGTTCCTCCCCAACTTCTGTGGACCCAGATATCCCTGCAAGATGCTGGCAAACCCTCCATGTTATGATGGCCACCTTATTTCCATCTGTTTGCTTACAGCCGTTTCCTGATACACATAAAGGAGCAGGCAAAGCGATAAGTGCTGGGAGAGTGATAAGTGCTGGGAGAGACACTTCACTGTCTTAATTTCTGTGTGTCAGAAAACTGCTAAAAACGCATGAGTTGTGCCTGTGTTGTTAACCTTGTGGCATTCATCTCCTGCCAATTGCGGTGATGGGTGTTTTGCTAGAACGCAGGACTTTAAGACATTTAGAAGATGGGATCTCAAGACAATGTTGCTGTTTACATAACAGCAAGACTCAAAGCCATTGGGCATTTCAGTTCCTGTTGCATTTCCCCAGGATATTTGGTCTTGGCTGGGCTGGGTTTTGCCTGAGGGTAGATATATTCCTTCTAATATGAGCAAATGTTTTGCTTTGGAATCAAAATGACCAAGGGCTGGAGCAACCCCCATATGAGGAAAGATACGAACTTTTGACGCTTTTCAGTTGAGGGACATGGTGTTGTTGTTGTTGTTTAGTCATTTAGTCGTGTCCGACTCTTCGTGACCCCATGTACCAGAGCACGCCAGGCACTCCTGTCTTCCACTGCCTCCCACAGTTTGGTCAAACTCATGCTGGTAGCTTTGAGAACACTGTCCAACCATCTCGTCCTCTGTCGTCCCCTTCTCCTCGTGCCCTCCATCTTTCCCAACATCAGGGTCTTTTCCAGGGAGTCTTCTCTTCTCATGCGGTAGGCAAAGTATTGGAGCCTCAGCTTCAGGATCTGTCTTTCCAGTAAGCACTCAGGGCTGATTTCCTTAAGAATGGATAGGTTTGATCTTCTTGCAGTCCATGGGACTCTCAAGAGTCTCCTCCAGCACCATAATTCAAAGGCATCAATTCTTCCGCGATTAGCCTTCTTTATGGTCCAGCTCTCACTTCCATACATCACTACTGGGGAAACCATGGCTTTAACTATACGGACCTTTGTTGGCAAGGTGATGTCTCTGCTTTTTAAGATGCTGTCTAGGTTTGTCATTGCTTTTCTCCCAAGAAGAAGGCGTCTTTTAATTCCGTGGCTGCTGTCACCATCTGCAGTGATCATGGAGCCCAAGAAAGTAAAATCTCTCACTGCCTCCATTCCCTCCCCTTCTATTTGCCAGGAGGTGATGGGCCCAGTGGCCATGATCTTTCTTCTTCTTTTTTGATGTTGAGCTTCAGACTATATTTTACGCTCTCCTCTTTCACCCTCAATAAAAGGTTCTTTAATTCCTCCTCACTTTCTGCCATCAAGGTTGTGTCATCTGCATATCTGAGGTTGTTGATATTTCTTCCGGCAATCTTTATTCTAGCTAGGGATTCATCCAGCCCAGCCTTTTGCATGATGAATTCTGCATATAAGTTAAATAAGCAGGGATTATGCAAGGTGTGGGGAAAATGGAGAAAGTGGTTTTCCCTTTGCCTCTTGTAATACTAGAATCAACCCAGCCAATTGGCGTGGTATAAATGATAAAATTATTATTATTATTAAGTTCCACATGGACAGTGATACTGGAGACAATACAGCCATCATGACTACTAGGGTTAACTTCCATGAACTGGTCTTATTCTCTTTGAAAAACATCCAAATTGGTTCTCTTCACGGCATCTTGCAGCAGTAAATTCAGCTATACAGCTGCAAAAGTACCGTGTTTAGTGTGTTTTAAGTGCATTATACAAATCTGACACTAGATGGCAAGCTTATGGCAAATTCAATATATTTTTTAAAACTTTTTTTTAAAAAAAAGCATTTTCACACTTTTTTATATGCGTCTGGATTCCACCTTAGTTTAACTGGCCAATGTGTGTGAAGAAGTATGTTATTTTGTTTATTATAAAGGGGCTTCATAGCAACTGTATAATAATTTTATTATTTGTATCCCCAGCTGCCCTGGGCTGCTCCATGTTCTTTTCACCACCAGGATATAACAGAGAAAATATGGTTAGAAAAGGATACTGGCTCCTTTACCAAAAAGAGAAATCATTCATCTTGATATGATTCAGAGCAGTTTGGAAGAATAAAGACAGCCCTTCCTAAAATCCATATAATCGATGTCAATAAGGGGAAGCATGTTCGCTTTTGAGGCCGACCGAATGCCAGCCTTCATTTCGCGATCCACTTACAATCTCTCGCCCCCCGCTTTGTAGATTTCTCTTTTCTTACAAGGCCAGAGTCCTGTTGAGACAGCTTTTGCATGGAATTGAAATTTCATTTGCCCTATTGACAGCAGGAACGGTCCGGGGGCACGAGGACGTTCCGATTGCAGACAATTTATCTCTGGCTGCAAATTCACCCGCTGTCTTCCCAGCTTAGTTCATGTTACAAAAATGACAGCCCATTTCTTTGTAATGATTAAGAAAATGGACTTTTTTGTCAAATGGCTTGCACCTCTGCCCTCCCTCCAGCAGCACGTCCCTACAAATTCCTTATGCTGCGCCATTCCAATGAAAAATTATTTTTGCTGTTAGTCCAGTTGGTCCAGCTGGAAAGCGTTTTTGCAAAATTATGTCTCTTCTGTGTACTGGCTGTAACCATTCCCAGTCCATGCCTTTGTTTTGTTTCTGGTGCTGTTCAAAGGCCAGATACCCCGGTGGGGGGCAGTGTGGTGTAGTGGTTGAGAGCGGTGGACTCGTAATCTGGTGAACCGGGTTCGCTTCCCTGCTCCTCCACATGCAGCTGCTGGGTGACCTTGGGCCAGTCACACTTCTCTGAAGTCTCTCAGCCCCACTCACCTCACAGAGTGTTTGTTGTGGGGGAGGAAGGGAAAGGAGAATGCTAGCCGCTTTGAGACTCCTTCGAGTAGTGATAAAGCGGGATATCAAATCCAAACTCTTCTTCTTCACACAGTCTCTAGAAGCCAACTGAAGTCCTAGCACATTCTTGCTGCCCCTCCAAGTTTGCTTTTCCCAATGTGGTACCCTCCAGATATCTTTTTTGTAAAAAAAGATTACAACTCCCATCATCCCTGGCATTCCGCCGCCTTGGCTGTGGCTGATGGGAGTTGTAGTTCAAAACATTGTGGGGGGGGCACCAGGCTGGGGGAGGCTGCTCTAAGGTGCTGGAGAGACTGAGGTTAAGTAAGTGGAAGGCCCCGTCCTCTGCATAAGGAAACAGGGCTTGAAGGCAATTCTCTTCTCTGCTGGCTCGACTGCATAGAATTGTGACGTTGAAAGGGACCACGAGGGTCATCTAGTCCAACCTCCTGCAATACAGTAATCTTTTGCTCAAGGTGGGACTCAAACCCACAACCCTGAGATTAAGAATCTCATGCTCTACCAGGTCTGATTTGCATAAGGGCCGGATTTAGGTTTGATGAGGCCCTAAGCTACTGAAGGTAATGGGGCCCTTTATATGTCCAGCTGTCCTTTGTCAACAACCAATTGTCGCTGTTTGTTGTGTTGAATATATGCTACATGGTAATTTATGGACCTAATAGGTATCCTAAGCCATAATGGGATCAAAATAAATAAATTATGTATTCCATGAAATCAATCGGTAGGCATAAGACTCATACCCTTAGTCTATGCTGCCTGGTCATCAGTCTACAAGCACTCTTTAATATTAGATAACTGGTGCAACAGCTTGGCCGACATTCAACTGGGCTACACTGCAGTCTGTAGCTCCATGCTACATGTTGCCATGCAACCGGTCCATGCAGAATGTAGGCACCCTATACAGTGGTACCTCGGGTTACATACGCTTCAGGTTACATACGCTTCAGGTTACAGACTCCGCTAACCCAGAAATAGTGCTTCAGGTTAAGAACTTTGCTTCAGGATGAGAACAGAAATCGTGCTCCGGCGGCGCAGCAACAGCAGTAGGCTCCATAAGCTAAAGTGGTGCTTCAGGTTAAGAACAGTTTCAGGTTAAGTACGGACCTCCAGAACGAATTAAGTACTTAACCTGAGGTACCACTGTATATAGAAATGAGCAAACCAGTGATATTTTAGGGAGCAGGTTAGCATTACTTACAGTACATCATAGGTGCCAAAACAACACAAAACACTGTTATTGTATGTAGATTTTATTTTATTTGTTTTTTATCTTATATTTTGGAAATGTACATCCAGTGTTTTTTTCTTTTAATTTTTGCCCCCCCCCCCCAAGAAAGTGGAGCCCTAAGCTATAGCTTGTTTTGCTTATATGTCAATCCGGCTTGTTGTGTGGTGGCCAGTTTGATGCTGCTGCTTTTGCTCCATTTATTATTACTGCTTTATTGTTATTACGGCTATTTAGCATTTAGTTTAGCCCTAGCAGTGTGCTAGGCACTGAACAGAAGTAACAGAGTCTCTGCCTCCAAAGAGCTTACAATCTACATTCACTGAAGAACAGAGCCAGGAAGGAGAGACCTGGGGATGTCAAAAGACTAGATGCATCAGTTGATGTTGGAGGGAGTGGACAAGCTGAGACTTCCTATGCTCCAGGCACATGGAAGGCTATGAAACAATAGGGAAGGGGCAGGCAACCTAAAGCCCGTGGGCCGGATGCGGCCCAATTGCCTTCTCAATCCGGCCCACAAACGGTCCAGGAATCAGCGTGTTTTTACATGAGTAGAATGTGTCCTTTTATTTAAAATGCATCTCTGGGTTATTTGTGGGGCATAGGAATTTATTCATTATCCCCCCCCCCAAATATAGTCCGGCCCACCGCATGGTCTGAGGGACGGTGGACCGGCTCACGGCTGAAAAAGGTTGCTGACCCCTGCCCTAGGGAGATGGTGTGAGTAAAGTGATACCTTGGGTTACATACGCTTCAGGTTACAGACTCCGCTAACCCAGAAATAGTACCTCGGGTTAAGAACTTTGCTTCAGGATGAGAACAGAAATCGTGCTCTGGCGGCGCGGCAACAGCAGGAGGCCCCATTAGCTAAAGTGGTGCTTCAGGTTAAGAACGGTTTCAGGTTAAGAACGGACCTCCGGAACGAATTAAGTACATAACCCGAGGTACCGCTGTACTGTTTTTGTTTGGTCCTTTATCAGCCTGGAGGAGTGGTGCAGAGTAGCCCCTTCTTAACCTACTCCCTTCCACCTTAAAACTTTTTAGTTTAGAGAAAAGACAAGTAAGGGGAGAAATGATGGGAGTTCATACCATTATTCGTGGTATGAAGAAAGTGGGTGGAGGAATGTTTTCCTCCCTTTCTAGTAACACTAGAATCCAGGGAAGCTGAACATTAGGAGGTTCAGGCCAGACAAAAGTGCTTCTTTGTGCAGCGCAAAGTTACTCCCTTTCCAGATCTTGGGAAGTTAATAAAAGTAAAGGTAAAGGGACCCCTGACCATTAGGTCCAGTCGTGGCTGACTCTGGAGTTGTGACGCTCATCTCGCTTTATTGGCCGAGGGAGCCGGCATACAGCTTCCGGGTCATGTGGCCAGCATGACTAAGCCGCTTCTGGCGAACCAGAGCAGCGCACGGAAACGCCGTTTACCTTCCCGCCGGAGCGGTACCTATTTGTCTACTTGCACTTTGACGTGCTTTTGAACTGCTAGGTTGGCAGGAGCAGGGACCAAGCAATGGGAGCTCACCCCGTCGCGGGGATTCGAACCGCCGACCTTCTGATCGGCAAGTCCTAGGCTCTGTGGCTCAACCCACAGCGCCACCCGCATCCCTCTGTATTTTGCCTTGGTCAGACCACACCTGTGTCCAGTTCTGGGCGCCACAATTTAAGAAGCATATTGACAAGCTGGAACGTGTGCAGAGGAAGGCGACCAAGATGATCAGGGGTCTGGAAAGCAAGCCTGATGAGGAACGGTTGAAGGAGCTGGGTTCATTCATCCTGGATGAGAGCAGATTTGAGAGTTACAAGAAAGGAGATTCTGACTAAACAGGAAGAACTTTCTGACAGTAAGCGCTGTTTGACAGTGGGTTTGGGCTGGATAACCGTCAGAGTCCCTTCCAGCTTGACCGTTCTATGATTCTATGATCCTGTGATCCACCAGTTCCGTTGAGTACTTCTGATCATTCTTCTCCACCCAGTCATCTTCAGGTTGGTAGGTCCCTTTCAGAACATCAAGCCTCTCGGATAGGCTTCTTGTGTCAGGAGCGAGGATGATGTTGTAGATCAGAGAGGCCACAATGCCGCCCGCCAGAGGTCCCACCCAAAAGATCTGAAGAAGTGCAAACAAAACATAGGTTTTTGGTGAGTCACTCCTCAATGGAATCATTCCCAATTGGAGCAGCTACAGAGCTGTTTGCCCCCTTCTCGGCTAGTAGGGGTGCTATTGAGGTATACCACACCATCATATAGTTGGAAAGGACCTTGACAAGACAGAAGTACTGTTTTGGGGAGACAGGGGGAGGGCAGGTGTGGAGGACTCCCTGGTCCTGAATGGGGTAACTGTGCCCCTGAAGGACCAGGTGCGCAGCCTGGGAGTCATTTTGGACTCACAGCTGTCCATGGAGGCGCAGGTCAATTCTGTGTCCAGGACAGCTGTCTACCAGCTCCATCTGGTATGCAGGCTGAGACCCTACCTGCCCGCGAACTGTCTCGCCAGAGTGGTGCATGCTTTAGTTATCTCCCGCTTGGACTACTGCGCTCTATGTGGGCCTACTTTTGAAGGTGACCCAGAAACTACAACTAATCCAGAAGGCAGCAGCTAGACTGGTGACTGGGGGCAGCCGCCGAGACCACATAACACTGGTCTTGAAAGACCTACATTGGCTTCTGCCCAGACGCTGAGGTCCAGCGCCGAGGGCCTTCTGGCGGTTCCCTCATTGCGAGAAGCAAAGCTACAGGGAACCAGGCAGAGGGCCTTCTCGGTAGTGGCGCCCGCCCTGTGGAACGCCCTCCCATCAGATGTCAAAGCGATAAACAACTACCTGACATTCAGAAGACATCTTAAGGCAGCCCTGTTCAGGGAAGTTTTTAATGTGTGACATTTTAGTGTATTTTTGGTCTCTGTGGAAGCCTCCCAGAGTGGCTGGGGAAACCCAGCCAGATGGGCGGGGTACAAATAATAAACTATTATTATTATTATTATTATTATTATTATTATTATTATTTCCATCCTCTGCTCAGAATGCATAATGGGATGATGGGGCCAAGATATGCCAACCATGTTCTGCTGCCAAGTGCAGTCTTGCTAAAGCCCATCCCATTGGGACATAACAGTTGGCCAGAGCAGAGTCAAATGGCTTTGGGACTGTCTCGAGGTGCTCAAAGGAAATGGTTCTGGATCCATGCACAGTGTAGCTATACTCTGAAATTCTCTTATGTTTTGTGCTCATCATTCCTGTTACTTATGGCCAACGTAAGCTCCTGACATCAAACATCAACATTATCAACTGGAGCTGCTGCCAGAGATTATAGACAATTGACCGATTGGGGTGTGTGGCTTGCCTCACTTAAGGCGAGCGCGGCCCCGGGATCTCCCTCTTTTGGCCGCTCAGCTGCTGAGGTTTCCCACCCGCCCACCCTTTAAGATTCCCCTTCTGACCTTGCTATGGACTTCGGTTGGTCGCCGTTAAGGGGCCTGGTAGGAATTTTTTCCACTTGGCAAATTGGCACTGGCCATTTGGTTTTTCGCCTACCTCGTAGCAAATCGTCACAACTCTTTTGGTTTTGGTGGTTAGTCATTGGTAGGGGTATTGTTATGTAGATATGTGGGAGGGAGCGCCATCACCTCCCCCAAATATTGAAGGGTAGTCCGGTAAAGGATTCCGGGGGGCATGGCCTCGTCCGAAGCCTATGGAGGCCAGGGCCCAATCGCGTCCCTGAGCGGTGACCCCGGGGGAGTTCCTAGTTGATGTGCATCAGCAGGGCTCCCCCTGCTGGTGTTAACCCTTCCCGGTCTTCAAGCAAATAGGCTGAAGCCAGATAGTCGGATAGGACCAATGCCTAAGCCAATACCGTTCTTTACCTGTAACCAATAAAGTTGTGGCCAATCTTAGCCCATTAACCTAAAATAGTGGTGTCATGTGTCTTTATTTCTACTGGTGGGAGGCAGGAACTCGCTACACAATGAAATTCTTGGGGCACAACAGTACTATTTGTTCCAATTCTGTATAATCACAGGAGACTCTCAAAACAACTCTGAGCCTAACACCCTTTTGTGAAAAAGCATAGTGGAAGAAAAATCCTAGACGCGCACCATAATTTAAAGCATGTTACTTCCTCCAAGGAATCATGGGAAATGCAGTTTGTTAAGGGTACTGCAACGTGCAGCTCTGTTAGAGGTAAACTACAATTCCCAGAATTCTGGCAACTGTTGTTTACCCATTAAGGAACTCCAGTGACCCAAGATTCTTCTGTTCCTTATTCTGGGCTGAAAGAAAGGTGAGCCACGTCGAGTCCCTGATCTTGCTAGAGTTGGCTGACTTCCTTTCACATTACTCCAGCATCTAATTTATCACTTGAGCATGTAAGCAAATTAAAGGCTGAAGCAAACGGAGGAATGATTATCTCAGGATAACAGATTGTCTAAACAGGGGCCCTAAGATAAGGCCCATAGCTCATCTATCAATTTCCACACCCGTATTTCATAAACAACTGATTTTAATTAAGACAGAGCCCAACAAGAATTGAGTCTTGTTTGTATACATCTAATTAATGCACCGGCCATTCATCCATGTGCCAGGGCCTGGAAGACAGGATCTTGCCCTTTCTTTGCCCGTTTTCTAACACCCTGGAAATCTGCTGCTCATCGAGGATGAGGGTGGTAGAAAATCAGACCCTCCAAGTGCCCCTATTTTCCAGGGACAGTTGTGGATTTACAGAAGCTGTCCTGGTTTCTGATTTGATCCTGGAATGTCCCTCTTTTCCTCAGGATGTCCCTATTTTCATCAGAGAAATGTTGAAGGGTATGGTAGGATGTTCCTATTTTCTTTGGAGAAATGTTGGATGATATGGCATACCCCCCAATGTTTCTCTGATGAAAATAGAGACGTAGTCAATCACCACCATCATCATTTATATTCTGGCCATCTGTGACTGCGTTGTCTCAGCCACTCTGGGCAGTTTCCAACATATATTAAGGTAAAGGTACAGGGACCCCTGACCATTAGTTCCAGCTGCAGACGACTCAGGGTTGCGACGCTCATCTCGCTTTATTGGCCGAGGGAGCTGGCGTTTGTGGCTTCCGGGTCATGTGGCCAGCATGACTGAGCCTCATCTGGTGAACCAGAGCAGCGCATGGAAACACCGTTTACCTTCCTGCCGGAGCGTTACCTATTTATCTACTTGCACTTTGACATGCTTTCGAACTGCTAGGTTGGCAGGAGCAGGGACCGAGCAACGGGAGCTCACCCCGTCACGGGGATTCGAATCGCCGACCTGGGAATGTCTACTTGTCCTTCATCTCCTAGCAATATCAGGGCCCATCACAAGCCTGAAGTCTCAGGTGGTAGCTGGATGGAAGCACTTACCCAGTGATCTTGGAAGTTTGCCATTATGACAGCGGGGCCAAAAGACCGTGCAGGATTCATCGAGCAGCCCGTGAAATAGATCTGGAAGGTAATAATGGTGGGGAAATGTCATCGCTTAATGATGGGTAGAGCAAAACGTCCTAACAGCTTTCCATATTTTATTGCAGTGTTTTTGTAAGTAACTCGCCCTGGGGTCTAGCGGTGAAGGTAGTGGCAATCTGGTGGCCATTGGGACTGGCAGGGAAAACAGCAGGGAGGTCAACTGTAGGTGGTGCCAGAGAGCCAATGACAGGCAGAGCCAACTGATACTGGCTTTGCTCCCATCCCTCTTCCTGCTGAGTTCTATGATGGCAGCACAAAGGAGAAAGAATATGACAGCTAGCGCCACCCCTAGCCCTAGATGACACTTGGAAAACAGGCAGATGGGGGGCTGGTTAGGGGCAGACAGAGGTTGGTGGGGCAATGCCCCATTCACCCCAACAGACCAGCTTCCACTGGGTGAAGGGCAGGTACAAAAATCAAATAGCAACAACAGTAATTGTCGTTATGGGCACCCACAGAGACAATGGAGTGCGCCTCCAGAGGTGAATTCAAACCGCTGCAATAGTATCACTGACATGACCTCCCTGGGGCACAAGCCTGGGCAGTGGGTATGGAGGTCTTGGGCTGCCCAGACAATAATACTGCTTTCTCGGCCTCGCAGATGTGATCCAAAGGAAAGCAGAGCAATACGTTTGACCCCAGCTTGGAGGCAGGAGTTGAAGAGACGTGCAAGACGCCATCCAACCGTCTTAGGGACTCCACTCCAGATGTGTGTTGAGTTTACCCCTTAGCCTTTTCTTCTCCTGAAGATATCCCTCAAGGCAGTGGAGGTTTGGGACCAGAGTTTTGCTTCTCCTAGATGGGCTACCTTCCCAGGTTGACTGGCCCCATCTTCTCCTCACTTCCCTTTACAGCATGTGCAGAAACAGTCTCCTTGACCGTTTCACTGGCAAAATGCTGGATAGCTTTTATACGAAGGAACCAGGCCACTGGTTCTACACACATGGTTCCTCCATACACTTATTACTGGCTAATAGGAGCACCAGGGACCTGCCTGTTAGAATATACCGTATTTTTTGCTCTATAAGACTCACTTTTTCCCTCCTAAAAAGTAAGGGGAAATGTCTTATGGAGCGAATGCAGGCTGCACAGCTATCACAGAAGCCAGAACAGCAAGAGGGATTGCTGCTTTCACTGCGCAGCGATCCCTCTTGCTGTTCCGGCTTCTGAGATTCAGAATATATTTTTTTCTTGTTTTCCTCCTCCAAAAACTAGGTGCGTCTTGTGGTCTGGTGCATCTTATAGAGCGAACAATATGGTAGTTCCGTTCCACCTTAAAAGGAGCACGCATGACTGGTGTGCCACATGCCTGTTTACTTGCAGCACTTGCTGGGAACTTCCGTTTGTATATAGCTTTTGTGTTACTGCTGTTTTGCTGGAGACGAAGGGAAGCAGACATGTTTTCCTCTGTTCCTGAACTATGCTGAATAAAATGCTGTACATTATGCTTACACATTTCTCTGTCCGCCTCTTCAGCTGTGAGAAGATTTACACACTCTGCTGATAGAGCGTGCACGGGTCTCTAAACGTATCTGAGGCTCGTGTCGCTGATTGATGCTGTTCCAAGGGAGACCGACTGCCGGCCGGGGGCTGGAGCCAGCTGGGGGCCTGCCTGATGCCCCCGTCTTCTCAGCAGTTTCCCAACACTGCCTTCCACCACCCCCACCCCAATTGCCATAGCACCCCCTGCTGGAATGCAATGGTAAAGAACCGTGGAGCCATCTCATCTGAGGAACACACCCTGTACCATTGCTCTGCCCAGCTGAGATAACAACACTCACCCCTAGGAAATGGCCGGCTGTGACTGACAGTCCGATAGATAACGCTGGGGAGCCCACAGCATCAGTTCTGCGGCTGTCCGTCGAGGCGAAGACACAGAGGACCAGCAGGAATGTCAGAATCAGCTCTACTGCCACTGCCTGTCCGGCTCCTGTGTTGTTGTGCAGCTGCAAAGATTAGGGAAGTTGTGAAGGAGGAGGAAGCACGGGAAGAGGCAGCCTTTGAGTCTTGGCAAAGGCAGAGAGAGACAGCAGACACAATTACCATCCATCTCCCCCAGGCGGCAGCGTTTAGTGAACAAAAGTTAGGTGGCTCCCATGGGGTTGATTTCCAGAAACAGCTGACAATTCCAAGGGTTGGTCGGGCCATAAAACACCGACTTGCCGGCTTAGCATGGACGGGCTGCCCTGCTGAACGACGCAGCTAATTATGTGCCCATCCGTCTGATCGTCTCGGAAGCCCTCCCAGGCCCAAATGTGTGTTTTTCCAGCAGGATCAGCACCAAAGGAGAAATCGAGAGTCTAGTAATTAAGTCGTGCTGGTGTTCACTGGAGCCCTGCCAGCAACTAACTTCTAAAGGAAATAGGAGTATCTGGATATAACAAGTCGGCTTAGAAGCTTCTACACTTGCTAACCTGCCGGCCAGCTTCATCATCGCAGGAGCACCCAGTGCTGGTTCTCTAGGGCATGGGATGGAGAACCCTCTATGCTCCTCTCAGGGGTTGCTGGACTACAGATCCCCATCACTCTCCTGACCGTTGGCCGTGTCAGCTGGTGCTGTTGGGAACTGGAATGTGCCAACATCAGGAGAACAGCAGGTTGCTCCCATCCCTGCTGTAGGGTGGCGGGATTCAGTGGAGGACAAAGACCCCCTGTCCCGGTTGCACAGAATTTTGGCAAGTGCTGCTTTTTCTCACTCCTCTTTGGCAAGATGCGCAGGCCGACATCCCCTGTTGTTTAAAGGAAAACCTGTAACTGACCTCTTTGGGCACTTTAGAGATAAAAAGGGTGGTTTCTGGTGGTTTCGTTATATCTCAATAATAATAATTTTATTATTTATACCCTGCCCATCTGGCTGGGTTTCCCCTGCCATTCTGGGCAGCTTCCAGCACATATAATAAAACATGAAAAACGTCCCATAACAAGGTTGCCTTCTAAAAATCAGATAGTTGTTTATTTCCTTGACATCTGATACAAGGTTGCCTTCAGATGGCTTCTAAAAACGAGATACAGTCATACCTCGGGTTACAGAATCTTCAGGTTGCGTTTTTTTGGGTTACAGAAGCGCCAAAACCTGAAAGTACCGGAACGGGTTACTTCTGGGTTTTGGCGGTCGCACATGCACAGAAGTGCTAAATCACGATTTGCGCATGAGTAGAAGCGCAGAATTGCAACCCATGCATGCACAGATGTGGCGCTGCAGGTTGTGAACGCTGCAGGTTGCGAACGTGCCTCCCACACAGATCACGTTTGCAACCCGAGCGTCCACTGTAGTTGTTTATTTCCTTGACATCCACAGGACAGGTGCCACTACCGAGAAGGCCCTCTGCCTGGTTCCCTGTAACCTCGCTTCTCACAGTGAGGGAACTGCCAGAAGGCCCTGGGAGCTGGACCTCAGTGTCCAGGCTGAACGATGGTGGGGTGTGGAGACACCCCTTTAGCATCTTTAAGGTGATTTGCCCTTTGTTTTAAACTGTATGCATTACAACAACCCTATAAGTATACTGTTTTCCCTTTGCTGTGTTCTTTTGAAAAATACACCACTAATGTACTATTATTGCACTGAGAATATGCTGCAGAAGATGTCCACAATAAAACATATCAGTCTGGAGAAGCCCCTAGTCACTTCTGTGATGTTCCATTCTGATTCTGGATTTATGGCTGCAGTAGCGAGGGAAGATCCCTTCCCACTTTGTCAAACAAGGGAATGCAGTCCCTTGGGATGGTGATATTGTACCTACCTAAACATCCAAAGAGAATTGTACAGCGGTACCTCGGGTTACAGACACTTCAGGTTACAGACTCCGCTAACCCAGAAATAGTACCTCGGGTTTAAAATTTTGCTTCAGGATGAGAACAGAAATCGCACGGTGGCGGCAGTGGGAGGCCCCATTAGCCAAAGTGATACCTCAGGTTAAGAACAGTTTCAGGTTAAGAATGGACCTCCAGAACGAATTAAGTTCTTAACCTGAGGTACCACTGTAGTTGGAATCAAGACCATGCCGGTGTGACAAAGTTTTCATAGCACTCTGCTGGAGAGCCTGTAAATGATCTAGATTCATCAGGCCACTGAAATAACCAGAAGCAACTTGCACTGCTCTGATTGTAGCTGAGGACAAGCACAATCCCTTGGCTGAACTCCACATCCCTTTGTATAGCTGCCAAAAACCTTCTGCAATCAAAGCTCAGGCTTTTTTGGCATCACCCCAGCTATCTCCTCTCCAGCCTAACCCTATTGGCTTTAGGCAAGAGGGTTGTACACACATTACAATGGACACAGGTTCATCGTACTCTACACCTGCACAAGTGCTTGTCTAAAACAATGTACACTTGTGCATTTGTGCATTTGTGCAGTCCAGCTATTGTGTACACAGGCACACAGACTGCACACTTGTTCAATGTAAGGTGTAGACACCCCTAAGGCCTGGCAATACAGTCGTACCTTGGATCTCAAACGCCTTGGCTCCTGAACAAATTGGCTCCCGAGCGATTGAAACCCGGAAGTGAGTGCTCTGGTTTTCTAACATTCTTTTGGAACCCGAACGCCCGACATGGGTTTTCCACGGCTTCTGATTGGCTGCAGGAGCTTCCTGCAGCCAATCGGAAGTCGTGCTTTGGTTTCTGAATGTTTTGGAAGTTGAACGGACTTCCGGGACAGATTCCGTTTGACTTCCAAGGTACGACTGTATATGTGTTGTTGTTGTTGTTGTTGTTGTTGTTGTTGTTGTTGTTGTTGTTGTGTGTAAAGAAAGCAGGAAGAAAACAAAGCACATAAAACACAACATAATATATTAAGTACAATATTAACTGTATAATTAAAAACAATGTAATTTTTTTATTTAAAAAAATGGGAAATATAGAATAATTATATTAAAATGGTAGAAAAGAACATAAAGTATTAATAATTTTTAAATTAAGACAGGATCCTGTGCCAACAAGCTCTTGCTGCTGCACAAAATCCTCTAATTGCTGATAATAACTGGCAGTGAGCCACCACTGAGAAGGACAATAGAGGTAATCTCCAGCACTCATCATGAACCCTGATGGATTTTGAAGTCTCCACACTCACAGGACTATAAATTGGCTATAATGCCAATGGGTTTGTAGAACGGCACTTGGCCATGGTGTGCCCCACGATATGATGTTCTTCCAGCCAGGGGAGGGCATAACATGTTCCCTCCAGGTAGCTTTAGGGATGGGGAATTTATGGCTTTCCAGATGTTTTTGGACTCCAGCTCCCATTAGCCCCAGCCAGCATGGTCAATAGTCACAGACCCTGCAAGTGTCCCTATTTTCCAGGGACAGTCCCGGATTTACAGAAGCTGTCCCAGTTTCTGATTTGATCCTGGAATGTCCCAATTTTCCTTAGGACGTCCCTATTTTCATCAGAGAAATGTTGGAGGCCAAAGAGTTATGCGACCCCCCCCCTCCAAACCAAGGAGATAATTAACTATACAACTTTCAGGAGGCAGCCCTGTATAGGGAAGTTTTCTTAATGCTTTATAATGTTTTCATATATGTTGAAAGCCGCCTAGGGTAGGGCTGCGATATGTCTGGAATTTCCCAGACGTAACCAGAACATGGCAGTCAGAAACAGTCTTTGGGCAAAAACCGGTAGAAGTCTTGATTTTGGCAAACCCCTTAAAAATAACTCCAAAAAAATTCTTTTCTTTTCTGAGATTTTGGGGGGAAAAGAAGAAGCTTAACATCTTCAGATGGGTGGGGTGGTAATAATAATAATAATAATATGGAATAGGATGTCCCTATTTTCATCGGCAAAATATTGGAGGGTATATAATCTACGGCAGAGGTCAGCAAACTTTTTCAACAAGGGGGCCGGTCCACTGTCCCTCAGACTTTGGGGGGGGGCGGACTATATTTTGAAAAAAGAAAAGAAAAAAAGAGTGAATTCCTATGCCCCACAAATAACCCACAGATGCATTTTAAATAAAAGGACACTTTCTACTCATGTAAAAACACACTGTTTCCCGGACTGTCCATGGGCAGGATTGAGAAGGCGATTGGGCCGGATCCGGCCCCAGGCCTTAGTTTGCCTACCCATGATCTACGGTGATGGAAGTTGTAGTTCAGCAACACTGGTAGGGCCTCAGGTTCTCTAACCCTGCATTAGGTGGTTCAATCCTGCGTATGCTTACCTGGTATTAAGACCCACGAAATTTAGCAGGACTGACCCCTTGTCATTTTCTTCAGCCAGGACAATAGGAATCCATGTGTCAGCAGCACTTACCGCATTGACGGCCAGGGTCCCTCGGATATCGGCTGGAGTGAGCTGGTGGATCACCCCTGCCCCAGCTATCGCTCCCAACATCTGAGCCACAACGTAGGCCACCGATCGTACCACTGAAATCTTTTGTGCCACGAGGAGGGCCACTGTCACCGCTGGGTTGATGTGAGCCCCGCTGACATGGCCCACGGACTGGACGAGGGTGGCGATGGCCAAGCCAAAGGCCATGGAAATCTGCACCATCTGTGGGAGTGCCGACGGCCAATTCAAGGCCGAGCCCACCCCGACAAGCACAAATATCATGGTGGCCAAGAACTCGGCAAAGACGGCTCTGAAAAAGGCCAACGAGCAAGCTTCATTCTTCATGGCAGAAGCGGCAATGGGGAAGTCAAGCCACGGTGCAGAAAGGGGTTGCCACGTTCTTTCCTTCTGCCAGAGGAAGGATGGGCAGAATATATATCTAGGGAAAGGATGAAAAATAGGGTGGGACTGGGAACGGGAGTTGCGGTTCCTGGGAAATCGCCCATCTCCTGCCTCTGAAACCCTGACCTTCCTTGTTAGTAATACTCTGCTGTGCCATTTTGTTGCTTGGTGATTTATGACCCTGCTTGACTTTCGGTTGCATGCAGAGAAGGATCCTCCTGAATTCTTCCAAAGAAAACTCCCGCAAAGCGTCCTTCGATTTCGATTTGTATCCTCTCGGTCCCTTTGCATAACGCAGACCTGCCCAGCCTGCGGTCCACCAAGTTAAATGCTGCCTGCCAGTTTTGAATGGCTGCTTGCCAGGGACATTAGTGCTGGTTTTGCTGCCTGCCATCAGAGTCTGTAAAAAAAACACAAAACACACACAAACACAACAGTGGCATTGCCAAGAACCTGCCAGGCCACAGTGCACACAGCTAGCAGGCTGTGTTCTGCTTGTTGGGTCACAAGATGGGCATACTTCATAAAGCATATTCAAGGTCGCTTCCAAGCAACCTGTTTCGTGTTGTTTTTCAAGCATTCTTCCTGATGGGTTTATGGGGGAAGTTAGATGGCATTGGACCAAGCAGACATTATGTGCGCATTCCAGTGCATTTCTACATTACTTTCCTTCCAGCAAACAGGGAGGGGAGTGGGTTTGTTGCGCAAGAGCTCCAATCCATTATAATTGCACAACTCAAATTTGCTAGGTTGAAACCCACCTGAAAATAACAACAGTCTGTGAGCACTCCAAGAGTCTGGAAATAATTGTGCAAGGACTGCTGAATTTTCCATGGCTATTATTATTGTTATTATTATGATGCCCAGTCCATCTGGCTGGGTATATACTCTGCATCCAGATTGATTTTGTTTGCCTGTTTTACGTTTCTTTTTCAGATAGATTCCCAAGGTTCCTGTTCCCCCCACAGTTTTAAGTCTTTGTTAGGAGTCATTGATAAAATCAGAAGGAATCCTTCTAGTACAGGGGTCAGCAAACCTTTTCAGCAGGGGGCCGGTCTACTGTCCCTCAGACCTTGTGGGGGGCCAGACTATATTTTGAAAAAAGAAAAGAAAAAAGAATGAATTCCTATGCCCCACAAAAAACCCAGAGATGCATTTTAAAGAAAAGCACACATTCTGCTATTGTAAAAACACCAGGCAGGCCCCACAAAAAACATTCTACATTCTACTCATGTAAAAACACGCTGATTCCCAGACCGTCGACGGGCCGGATTGAGAAGGCAATTGGGACAGATCCGGCCCCTGGGCCTTATTTTGCCTACCCATGTTCTAGTATAACAGACCCTCCAAAATCCTGCAGAGGAAAATTGGGATGCACATTTTTGGGGGCTCTACTCTTGTGGCAGCCAGGTGACTCAAGAGAGAGAGCACAACCCCCGAAAAAGGGTGTCTTTTGGGGTCATGTTCTCATGGGAATCAAAAGGGGCCATCCCAGGTTCCAATCAGGCTTGTGTAATTCCGGGATGTCCTGCTCAAAGCAGGACAGTTGAGGGGTATGCTAGCAGTTTTGTTGCTACACCTCTGGGCGGGGACTTCTGCCACCTGCCTCATCTTCAGTTGCCATGTTGCCCCATAATGCGCTTGCTAGCTCCCACCTCAGTCACCATGCATTTGGCAGCTGTGTGAAAGGAAGTCTAGTGTGTAGATCTGGGTGCTTGGAGGGCTCCCGCAGGTGAGCAGGAATGCTACAGGGATATAATAGCAAAATCCCATGTGTAAGTGTCTGAGGGACGTGGTTGGCGCTGTGGGTTAAACCACTGAGCCTAGGGCTTGCCGATCAGAAGTTCGGCGGTTCGAATCCCCGCGACGGGGTGAGCTCCCGTTGCTCGGTCCCTGCTCCTGCCAACCTAGCAGTTTGAAAGCACATCAGAGTGCAAGTAGATAAATAGGTACCGCTCCGGCGGGAAGTTAAACGGCGTTTCCATGTGCTGCTCTGGTTCTCCAGAAGCAGCTTAGTCCTGCTGGCCACATGACCTGGAAGCTGTACGCCAGCTCCCTTGGCCAATAAAGCGAGATGAGCGCCACAACCCCAGAGTCAGCCACGACTGGACCTAATGGTCAGGGGTCCTTTACTTTTATTAACTTCCGAAGATCTGGAAAGGGAGGAACTTTGCGCTGCACAAAGAAGCACTTTTGTCTGGCCTGAACCTCCCAATGTTCAGCTTCCCTGGATGCCCACGAATTCTAGTGTTACTAGAGAGGGAGAAAAACATTCCTCCACCCATTTTCTTCATACCACAAATAATGGTATGAACTCCCATCATTTCTCCCCCTTACTTGCAGCCTTAAGCCTTTGGCACAGAATTCAGCTCTGCTTTTGGCACCAGGCCCTTGCGTGCTGTTTTAGAGAAAGCAACAAATCACGTCCATAAAGTCCCTCTGTGGGAACGCCCTGGCCAAATGCGTTTCGCATTGTGAAAGGCACAAATGGAGCGACCTCAATGTCCTTGCGGGTGCAAAAGGTAAAAGCAGCCATGTCAGAGTGAAGAGGAAGAAAAATGTCAAGGTTTAGTATGGAGAGAGTTTGCCACAAGTAGCCAACAAAAGCATGGGTATTTTGGTTCCCAGAGATGATTAAGTTCCTCGAATGATCAAACTGAATTTAAACAGTTTGATGACAGAGATATTTCTCAGTTTAGTAAGGTGGCTGTTATTTAGGCTTAGTATTTGGAGTATGGTTACTACACAATATGAATATCTTGCTATCGAAAATTTATGTGCTCATGGTATTCTTTTACAGTGGTGCCCCGCAAGACGAATGCCTCGCAAGATGAAAAACTCGCTAGATGAAAGAGTTTTCCGTTTTTCGAGTCGTTCCGCAAGACGAATTTCCCTATGGGCTTGCTTCGCAAGACGAAACGTCTTGCGAGTTCTTGCGAGTTTGTTTCCTTTTTCTTAAAGCTGCTAAGCCGCTAAGCTGTTAATAGCCGCTAAGCCGCTAAGCCGTTAATAGCCGCTAAGCCGCTAATAGCCGCTAAGCCGTTAATAGCCGCTAAGCCACTAATAGCCGTGCTTCGCAAGACGAAAAAACCGCAAGACGAAGAGACTCGCAGAACGGATTAATTTCGTCTTGCGAGGCACCACTGTATATATTCCCCAAGTATATTTTCAAAAATTTAACACGGTATTTCAGAAGTATATTTGAGGGACTTCACCACCTCATTTTTTACTCTTTAAAAATGCAGCTCTCCGTATCGAAATGAGGATTAAATTTTCCCGATCTTAGTTCATATCTGGGTTACCAACCTTTTAGACCAGTGGACACATTTGGAATTTTGAGAGAGGGCATAACACAAAATGGCTGCCATGGGGTATGGGGCATAATACAAAATTAGAGAGACAGGCACCCCCAACAACATGTTTACCATGGCAAGCCAGCTATGTCCTGCTAGTCAAGCTTGTGGAGATCACAAAAATATTTATTTTACACACGCACAGACACACTGATGTTGTTGCTGTCAGTATCAGGAAAAATTCACAAGGTGATTACATTACACTCACTCTCATTTCACAGAAATCACTTAGATTTTGCACATTTTACCCCCAAACTTTCTCATAGATCTATATACTTTCTTTTTATTATTATTGTTGAAAGCAAAGAGTCTGGGCCCAGTGGCATTAGTGAAAGCCTTCAGGGTTATTATATTCCTTATACCATAAGGAATATATTTTTGCTTATACAAGTGATTGGTAAGATTTCCCCCCTGCAAAGACCTCTGCATGGGTGATCACAGAAATGATGTACATCACTTTATGGATGGATGGCGCTAGAATCTATGTATATAAAAAGAAAGGAGTATTTCCCCTTGCAGTTTTAGCAGCTGGAAAGGCACTGATTATATTGCTTCGTCAGTTATATTTTGACCTATGTGTTCATGCTGAATTAAGTCTATGGGGTAACCCAGATTTGAAGACAGAGAAGAAGATCTGTTTGAGAAACGGACTCAAAGTGGAATTTATGCATCAGACCAGTTAATAGGATTAGATGGAGTATTTTATTTTTATTTTATTTTTTGCCATTTTCAATATCGCTGTTAAGAAACCACCAATCCACAAGTGGAGAATGGCAATATCTTCAGATTTACAGCCTTTGGGTGTTTGTTTATGGATGGTCAGCTTTGAGTGCTTCAGTATCTCCTAGATTGCTAGAGGGAATAATTGGATATTTAAAGAACGGCAGATCTGTTCTTGTTTATAAATATTTATTGGAATATCGTAAAGTGGATGTTCAGGATCTTCGAGATGAGTGGAATAAGGAGTTAGAGCAGGTTCACCAGCCACTGCCTTTCCTGGACCAGGGTAGTGTTGCTACAATAATACATGCGCTGGTGACTTCCCATTTAGACTGCTACAGTGTGCTCTACATGGGGCTGCCTTTGAAGACAGCTTGGTGCGAAATGTTGCCGACAGATGGTTGAGCTGCAGAACTAGGTGTGATAATGGACGGGGTGGCATTTAAGGTGCTCACTGTGGTGCATAAAACACTTTCTGTATACTGCAGTTCTTTCTGTATCCGCCAGACCGTAATCTGAGATCCACTGGGGAAAGACTCTGCTGATAGTTCCAACCATAACTGCAGCCTGAACCCCAGTGACGACTTCTTCATCTTCTTCTTTTTCTTCTTCTTCTTCTTCTTCTTCATTGAATTTATATACCGCCCTATACCTGGGGGTCTCAGGGCAGTTCACGGAATAAAATCAAGATATAAAACCACAAAATGCAAAATAAAAATAGAAAACAACAACCCAATAACCCACCCATCCACCCCCCACAAAAAAACCCTCACATTTTAAAAGGGCATAGGATGTAAATCAGATCAATCAAAGACCTGGTTAAAAAGCAACTTTGCCTGGCACCTGAAGGTGTATAATGAAGGCACCAGG